TACAAAGTGAGGTGGAAAAAGCTATCAAGGAAATGAGGAAGGGAAAGGCTACAGGAGATGATGATGTACCTGGAGATGTGCTCAAGTTACTGGGAGAAGGTGGTTTGAAAACACTGACAAAACTAATGAACACCATATATGAAAGTGGAGAGTGGCCCAAGGACTTTACAGAAGTTACAATGATTGCCTTAAAGAAAAAGACAAAAGCTACAAAATGCAGCGACCATCGCACAATAAGTCTTATTGCACATACAGCAAAGATAATAGCAAAGATACTTAAAAGAAGAATTGAAAGGAAAATAGAGGATGTACTTGGAGAAGATCAGTTTGGATTTAGAAGAGGAAAAGGAACCAGGGATGCAATTGGGATGATGAGAATTATAGCGGAACGAACTTTGGAGATAGATGAAGAACTGTGTGTTTGCTTCATAGACTGGCAGAAGGCATTTGACCGGGTAAACTGGACCAAATTAATGCAGATCCTGAAAGAAACAGGTATCGATTGGCATGAAAGAAGATTGATTAGCAAATTGTACATGGATCAGAAAGTTAGAGTACGACTGGACACGGGGGAGACAGGAAGTGTGCAGATTGGAAGAGGAGTTCGACAAGGATGCTGTTTATCACCAATTCTGTTCAACTTGTACAGCGAATGCCTTACCAAGGAAGCTCTGGATGGGCTCGGTGACTTCAAAGTAGGAGGGCAAATTATTCAAACTGTGAAATATGCAGATGACCTTGTGTTAATGGCTAAGGAAGAAACTGTGCTACAGGGCATGATTGATAGACTAATTGAAATTGGAAGGTGCTATGGCATGGAAATGAATGTGGAGAAAACAAAAGTAATGAAAATTTCGAGACAACCAACCCCAGTCACAATAAAGATAGACCAAAAACAAGTGGAGAATGTGAAATGTTTTAAATATTTGGGTAGCTTGTTAACAGATGATGGAAGGTGTACTTGTGAAATTAAATCCAGGATTGCCATGGCAAAAGCTGCATTTAGCAAGAAGAAGAATCTTTTTACCAGCAAATTGGACTTAAATTTGAGGAAGAAACTAGTGAAATGCTACATTTGGAGCATAGCTCTGTATGGGGCTGAAACATGGACACTTAGGGCAGTAGATCAGAAACATCTGGAAAGTTTCGAAATGTGGTGTTGGAGAAGAATGGAGAAGATCAGTTGGACCGATTATGTGAGAAATGAAGAAGTGTTAATTAGAGTCAGTGAGCAGAGGAATATCCTACATGAAATAAGAAAACGGAAGGCTAATTGGATTGGTCATGTTTTACGCAGAAACTGCCTTCTAAAAGAAGCTATCGAAGGAAAGATAGATGGGCGGATAGAAGTGACAAGAAGACGAGGAAGAAGACGTAAGAAGATGCTGGATGACCTTGGGGACAGAAGAGGATACTGTCATTTGAAGGAGAAAGCTCTAGATCGCATTAAGTGGAGGAATTGTTTTGAAAGAGACTGTGGACCTGTCGTCTTGACAGATTACTGATGATGATGATGATGATGATGATGATGTATGAGTCTAGTCCTTGGGTGTTCTTATATATCAGTGAAGCACTGAGATAAATGTACTTCACATTCAAATCCATGCATGAGCAGAAGAAATACAGTAACCACATCTTTCTGGGTCACTCAACACATTACTCTGTATCAAAAAACGAAATCTCAGTCTTTTCATTAATTGCCTGATCTCAAAATGGAGAGAGGTCAGCATGCAATCTACACGACAAAAAAAATTCATGAATAAGCAAATTCAGAAGCTGTAACTAATGAAGCAGCTAAGTGAATAGTGTTAGTAAAACTGTGTATGAAAAACTGAAAATATATGAAAGAGCTACCTACAAACTATTGATACATAATAATAATAATTCAATTCATTTTTATAATAATAATAATAATAATAATACATATGCTATTAATCTTTAACATATGGCAGTTACATTTAATTTACAAGAAAACTTTGTCCCAGATAACAGAGAAGGGTTAAGGAATAAAACATATCACGAGCAATAATTAAACTAACCTACAATACCATATAAATATTTATCAAGTGATCAGCTATTTTGATGTGAAATAACCCTGTTAATTAAAAAGTCACACTTCCTGGCTCTGGAATTAAGGTCCTGTACGAATGCTGACCTGCTTGTCTGTTACTATCTTGCAAATTCTACTATGAGTTCTGAGTTTAATATAAAGGCACGTAAAAGATGATGTACCTATGCAGTAAGACTAAGTGTCCACATTCTGAAAAATCCACAATTATATAACTAATTTCTTAAGAGTACACCTTACTTTGTGTCCTAAAGTTCACCTATACAATTCAGTACATACAAATAGGTTACTTCATAAGATTGCAAAGTTTTAGAAATTGGTGTGGGGGGGGAGAGTTGTGTATTGAAAAGGAATAATTCCATAACGTCTTCTTTCACTGGAAGAGAGGCTTTGCATAAGCAGGTTAGACCAAGACACTGTGGGGCTCTTGTCAACGTGTGTGTTGTCTTGTCATTACTCCGATGACAACCCACTTCTTCGGAACAGTGTGTTGGCCCTGAAAAGGACCGTGGCTGCTGAGATGATTGACCGGTGAGGTAGCGCGGCGCGCACCGGTAAGGAGAAAGGCTAGTGAAAGGCGAGTGGCCTGGCCGCAGTGCGGCCGTGGCTGGAGGTTGCTTGGTTGCCGTGCGGCAGAGTGACTTGGAGGTTGCTTGATCGCAGTGCGGCAAATGGCGGAGGTTGCTGCTGGTGGTGAAAGGCTAGTCGTTGAGTGCGGTCGTAGGAGCCATGAGGCAGTGGCTACGCCAGAAGCCCAGTGGGTCGGACCGTAACACGACCACCGGCGAGTCCAGGCGCGGTGCCCCAGTGAGTCGGGTGTGAGAGCGCCGGAGAGCCGAGGCAGTTGTGCCTGGCGCAGCCTGCCGATGTCTCCGAAGACCGAGCGCTGGCGACGAAGCCTGCTGGCTGAAGTTGCTTGATGTGGCTAGCTCGTAGGCTGATGATGAGCTGCGTTGAACTGAATCGATGAACTGAATTACTTGGCTCTGGAGTCGCTCGTTTTTATACGCTGGTCGGTGGGGCGGAGCCAAACTCGAAAGTGAGGAGGAAGAATTGATTGGCTAGCGCGCGTAATGAAGTAGATGCGGGCCAGGAGCGATCCCAGTATAAATATGAACGTTTGAAGCAATCAGATTGGTTAGCGCGCGTGATGGTGAAAAGTGATGTGAAGAGCGAGCGTTGCAGAAATGCGTGATAATGTGGGATGTTCCCACAACACAAATACCGCACATCAAAGATACCTTCACAAAGAAATCTGAAGCACCAGGTATGAATACACTCCAAAAACTAAATATAAATATAATCTGATTTCATTTTGTAGCATATCTTCCTACAGAATACATTTATAAACTGCTGGTGATTCATATACATAACATGGCAGATTGCATTTGAAAGCTTTCTACAAAAGGCAATTCTTACCTGAAAGGAGCGCTACAGCAACTGAAATGGAATGGATAAGGAAGGTGACATGCTGGTGGTTCATCACGGATAAGCGGTACCAAGATTTGGTTCAGGGACCATCAAGATTGAAGCTGGATCCATACCTGTGGAACAGGTTTTCTCCATTTAATTGAGCTATAGTAACAGAAAAAGGAAAATAACATGAAAGCAATGAATTGAATTTGTTGCAGATTCCCAACCTAAAATTTGTGAAGATGTTCAAGATAACATTTCTTTTCCTTTTTCAATGCTTTCTCCCTTTAAAGAGGTCCTTGTGTCAACTTTCTATTTTTTTTTTCTTAATTTCTGGAGGAAGACCCAGCTTCCTCATTAGCTCCATTATAACTTAATTCCAAATTTATCATGGTCTGACTCTTTTCTGTCTATTCTACTGGACTCCATTCCAATGCCTGATGTGATAACTGATCATCTTCCATTAGATGAACATATCCAAAACAGGTCAACAGAATTTTTGAAGTTGAAAATGTTTTGACAAAAACTTACAATTTGTTTGTTATTGCATTATGGTGATTTTAAAGGTTTTCCAAGCTGCATAACTGATGGATGCCTGTTTCGAACCCATGCCAAACAACAAGGAATCTGACATCACTATATAATACTTATGTGACAGCATTAATCACTAATTCCTTAGGCCCACATACGAAGGGCATTCCGTATATAATGCCTCCTATTTCTTTGTGTTAATATGTAACGTCTGAGCTGGATGTTGGTGGTGCTGTAGTAAAGGTTGAACCTTCCTGCCAATGTACTATTAGTTTGGTTGTCATGCAACAGATCGCGACAGCAGAGCAGTCTACCAAAATGGCTTCTGACATAGAAGTCTAAAATGACAACTTGGGATATGAAGTGAGGCCACACAATAACTGTCTTCCTGATTGCAGAACAAGTCACAGAATATGACTGGAAAATGATCTCTCCTCTCCTTATTCTGTGCAGTGTCAGATCAACTGAAGGCAAATACTGACCATGATGGAGTGTTCTACAAAGCCATTCATATTTAGATATGAAATTCAGAGGAATACAAAACCTCAAAACACCATGAAAAATGCTCAAAGTGGAAACTGAGGATTGTAGGGAACACAAGGGATTTGCTGTAATATTTGCAAAGTACTGCTTTGTAAGGAACATGACCTGTAAATTGACCTGAATCATTTTACACAAAATTAACAAGTGGGAAATAAAACTTAAACTACAGTACTTTGACAATGGAACTGGTTTTCTGCAAAAAGGTACAGTCCAGACTTTGTAGACACCACCTCATCAAAATTGTATTTATTTATGCATGTATACAAGAATTAAAATGAAACCTAAGTGGAAAAAAAAATGAGTGTATGAGTTACACCACTGGGCATAACTCATTCACTAGCCAGTACTTACTGAACATAAATATTTATGGCAGACTCTGCAGATTATGTATAATAAATGTGAAAAAAAGTTGCATGTGTGTAAGAAAATGTGAGAAGATTCTTTCTGCTCAGCGTGTTTTATTTCATCATACTGTGTATAAAATTAGTATTTCATCTAGAAACAGAGAGTAATGTAATATAACACTCAGCAAACATTCACATCACAAACAATATACATATCTTATTTCAACAGTATCAAACTTCTCTGTTTCAGTTTTGCAATTAATATTCAGTTTAATTCAGTTCAATAATTTATTTATTTTGTGCTGAGTTCAACAGCCATTGGCCAGTTACAAGTCAGCATGAACGTTCAAAAGTAAAATAATTCTGCTAAGACAAATTTTATATCTGTCGTTGAATTCTTACAACTGCAAGAACAAACCATAAGCTTTCAAAAGACTGGCAAAGTTTAAGGGTACATGTTATGTACCATTGCACCTAACTGTTCCAATAAAACTGTACAACATTTCGTGTTCTGGGATGCACATATATCCCACCATGAAAACTGCAAAATATCACTTTTATAAAAACAATGATACAATGGTAATGGTAAATAAAATGTGAAAAAACACTTTCAGATGAACAACAGTTTATATGCCATGACCATTGGTCTGACCAATGAGTGAGACCCGTTTTGATTTATACTTTATGAAGCGACTGAGGTTTGTACTGACTGTTGTAACCACTAAATAATGGTCACCTAGAGACTTCCTTTGGAGACGTACCTGTGTACAGAACAATCAATTGTAAGTTTATCAGAAGCTGAACAAATTTTTCTTATTTGATATAATGACAGTTCTCAAGTTTGACGTTGATGAAACAACTGTGGTATACCTTAAAAGAAAGGGAAATGAAGAGGGGGGAGGGGAAGAAAAAATTAGGTATGACAATTTTTTGGCTTCTTTCATGAGGGAATTCTGTTCATAAGATACTAAGAAATATTAAGGCATTCACAATCAGGACAGAGCTTGCTCATGCAAATTTCTAAGAACTAGAACTTAACATAAATGTTAATAATGTGGAGATATATAAGAGATAAAATTAACACTAATAATTATAAATACTCAGTGACAATGTAAACAGTGAAAACAACCCCACCTGGAAAGAACACACTGTCCAGAAAACCAAAATATAGTAACCCATCAACTGGACTAGTCACTTATTCATTAGCAATAGAATGGTGGTGCTTTTTATTGCTATCAAGATATTGCATAAACAGAAATTAACTGCTCTTAATGATGTATACACACGCTACAACAAGTCAACCACAAACTTACAGTAATAAAAATCATTATTCTAATTAAACTTAAATAAAAACAATCATTTATAAACCATCATTGGTGCAACATTCTTATACAACCCATTCTTCAGTAACAGCACTGAAGAGACAAGAATTAAGGACAAGGATATGGTATCATAAAAACAAGCGTAACTGCAGCCTTTGTTCACAAACACATAATCCTAACAACATGCATTAGCATGTAATAGCTGAACAGAATAGGTTATTTTAAACCGCAGTCACCTTGAAATCCATTAATGCAGCATCAGTTGCATCCAACAGACACTGACCTACTAAACGAAGATGGTGACCAGTATGACCATGAATAATTCAACATTTTTGCAACTTCTTATGCCTGTTCCCTGTCTGAGGTAAGATTACATTTTATCACAAATTTTCATACTTTGCTCTTAAATTATTTATAAAAGATTTATTCAAAAATAATTCAGCACGGAGGGTACCGAGAGTTACTTAACATACTAGCAGTGAAAGGGTTAATCTAATACACCTTCCTCGTAGTGTTTCCATGTTCAGATCATGCCTCATATCCTCCTTTAAAATGTTATTCATTCTTGTTTCGTTCTTACCACTCCAGAGAAACCTCTATTAAAATTACTGTCTCCTGGGACTGAATTGTGATGTTTGGTAGACAGGGATCCACATACTGGAGGAACTTGCTGCCTCCATCTTCAGCTTTTTCCAAAATGTTGGTATCTCTCTACCAAACTACACAGCATCACATTCCAGAAGACAGTGATCTTCATAGGCACTGCTGTGAGAACTTAAAATTTTACCCATTTGCAATCTGCTTACTTTCTTTCTGTCCCACATTTCAAAGTAGGCAACAAGTTGATTCATATAACTTTTGAGACATTTCACAATTTAAAATGATACTTAAAAGTCTGATGACATTTTCTGGTAATATGGATTGATTCCCTATGTAATTTTCTGTTGGACTACTCTAGCTGATCAAATTTTACTGTCCAAATAAGAAAACTTTCACTTTTCTTGAAAGTGTTACTACATTTAATTGCTTGCATGTCTCTATATTCTTGCTCAGTTATTAACTACACTTTTATCCAAACTGTACTTTAGATTTTACTTTGTCTAAATTTCATTTTAATCTCCCAATATTCTTCTGTAGCCCACCATAACTGGAAATCATGCTCTGTTATACTGCTAAGTTTTACGTGTGATTACAAGAAGTCCTGGTAACATTAATTTCATATATTATCAACTACCTAAAAATTCTACATATATACCTCAATTATTCAAATTAAAGTACTGTGTTATGAAGCATAACCTTGAGATGATGATGAGAATGTAATGTCAGCTCTTCAAAGTTCATGAATTAAGACCTTGTAAGCCTAAAATGATGCCAAGCTGAAGTTCCCTGTTCCAATTTCTCCTCCAGTTTTACAGTTCAGAAATAATAGTATGTGAGTAGAGATTCAGCGAACACCTATTATACACATACATTCTCAAAACAAGAGCTGTCATATTGTACCTTAAGGTTCCATGCTTATATGATATTTATGCTTGTGTAGTTCACAATATACCAAACCATTCAAAACATGATCTTACCTTGTGTTTCAGCGATGGCAACAATGTTTGCAATTTCTCTACAAGATTAATCTGTGCTGCTGCAATATCAGTCTCATCCTCTCCAAATACATCCATTATTGTATCAACAGCTTCAATTGTGACCCACAATTCTGACTCTCGATTACAAATATCCAGGAGGAATTTGCCAATATTCTGGGGGGGGGGGGGAAAGGAAAAAAGATATCAGAATGAAGGCAAATACTGTACCAACACAAAAGGCCAGAATGTTCAATTTTTAACTAAAATTCAAACTCAATTTTGAAAAGCACTTGTGGTTTTAAATTCTAGTCATTCACTTATTTATTTACGATTTATTTAACCACACTATCAGTGGCTCAGATTATATAGCACAGGATGATAAGTGAGAAGAGAATTAGAAAGTATGTGGAGGGAAGTAGAGTGGCATAATTTGAGGTATTATGATGGAATCTGCCTGGTAGGACTGAGGAAAACCATGAGAAATCTCAGTCAGGATAACCATTCATCACACTGAAATGTAAATTTGAAACTCTTTAAAACAACCAAGGATTGTTACCCACTTAACTGTGATGTTCAGTAAACAAACAAATTCCAGTTTAATGAAAAAACTGCAATGGGTATTTATTTATACCCAGTAAAGCGGCCTCTGTAGTCTAGAGGTAACGTTCCCACCTCATGACTCGTAGTACGCGGGTTCAAATACCCGGCGAAGGTCGGGAATTTTTAAGGGCAGAAAAATTCAGGGAACAAGTCCTCCGGGAGGGACTTTAAGCCGTGGGTCCCGTATCATAGCTTTACGGCACGTAAAAGAACCTCATATCTCCAAAGGAGGTCACTGAGCCAAATTACGGATGTTTCCCGCCCAACAGCAGTCTCTAATACCTCTGGTAGAGGGGGGAAGCATTATAGATACCTCTCAGCTAGTAGAGCCGGTCTCGCTGGCTGGGCGGGACTGATGGTAAGCACCAGTACCAGTAGGATATAGAGACTGGTAGAAATCATAGAGGGAAGCACAATGGACCAATACAGGTCTAAGTGCATGGGGAAACCCACCCTCTCCAATAACTAACTAACTATACCCAGTAATGTTACAAGTTTCTTTCATTTTAGAAACATGCAGACTTATGACACCACTTGTGCAGTTAAATTCACAGTTTCAAAGTTACTACAGTGTTATATACATATAAAGTAAAAATTTACTTGATGCAAAAAATATAGCATATATCTGAGTGCACATGCATGCGTTCTTAAGGTAAATTTGTCCCTGTGCTTAACTAATTAAGCACCATGCCAAGAAAACATATGGGAGAGTGGAGGTATAGCTCCACCATTCTTGAATTTGGCATTAGATAGAGGTGACTGGTCAGCTTCATGCCATGGCTGTTCAACCCCTCAAGAAATATTATTCTTATATATTTTGGAATTGTTATATTGTTTCCCAGAACCCAGTATGTGATTCCAAATTTACAAGGTGGAGAAAAGCTGTATATGTGAGTCAGAATTTTGAACAGTGTATAAAAGCAATGATTTATAAGACAATTCTGTTCCTACCAAGAATAAATGGCATCAAAAAACCAATAAGTTTTATATAATAGCTCATTACTCTACATAATTTACAATGTCATGTCCCCAAACAATATAACGTTTTGTCATGTTTGTAATTTTTTCATAATATTTTCAAAAAAAAAAAAAAAACAAGATGCTTAACTTTCATATAAAAAAATTCTGGTTCCAGTCTTTGAGACTCAGACATACTTCAACATTACCTTACCTTCAGCAATGTTTGACTCTTAGTTTCCATTGACTTTGTGAAAATCATGCCTAAGAGGCCAATACTCCTGATGAGGTTGGTTCTGACATTTGCATCTGGACATTGCATTTCAGCATTAAACATTAACTGAAAGATAAATAAAAATGAGACAAAACCAATGATGAATGTTCAAAAGAAACTCATTCACATGTTTGGCACCTCAAAAAAGTGCTAAAGGGCTGTAGATTCAGGCTGGGTGAAAACATCTGGGTTGTGGAATTACCATGGTTCCAGCAGCCCAGGAATTTCTTTGTGGATGTGATCAATCAGTTGATGTGTCATTGGGATGCGTGCTTCATCACTCATGGGAGCTAATTTAAATGACCTCTACTCCTTTGCCCGGAAAAAAAAACCTGAATGGGTTTCATTTGAACAGACTTTGTAAAGTATTTATATCCATTGTTACTCAGTTAGATCACTGCGGTCGCGGTGCAAGGGCCAAGAAGGCCCACCCCTTATACATTATAACCATTCATAAAGGCCGTCTTGTAGTGCACTCAATTTCACCTGTCACTTCACAACATGTTTCGGCAACAGTGCCATCATCAGGTGTCCCAATTACGTCAATCTATTGCATTGCTTGCCCTCATATGTTTTCACAACACCATTTAAAAAGTATTTATGGTATAAATATAATAATAAAGTATAATGGTGTTGTGAAAACATATGAGGGCAAGCAATGCAATAGATTGACGTAATTGGGACACCTGATGATGGCACTATGTTGCCGAAACATGTTGTGAAGTGACAGGTGAAACTGAGTGCACTACAAGCCGGCCACTGTATACATATAATTGATGAAAATCAGTGCAACAGGACACTAAAATATAACATTATTCATAAAGGGTTAGCACTCCAGAAACAGAATCACTCATGCATCGACCAGTTGCAAATATAGAAGTATACATATGAAGTGTCATGTAAGACTACAGCTGATTTAATTCTGTCAAGTGGCTAGTATATTTTAGCTATATTTGTGGTGCCCTGCGAGGCCATGATTAACTAAACATCCATGGTAAAGAACTAATGTATGACTACTTATCATCCCTACCTGTAAGTCTGATTCTGTTAATTCTTCAAACAGATTACAATTGACTTCAGCAAGTTTACGGAGTGCTTCTCTCAGCGCAGATGTGGCTGCTTCTAGGAGTTTTGTGTCACTCTGATCTAAAAAGAATGTAACAGGCAATTCAAAATAAGGAAATTAAAATGGGGGGGGACATCTGGTAAATATATGAAAAACATGTGGAACTTACATTAAAAAATAGCCATGTATATAAAACAACAGCCCTACAAATGCTCATCATCTTTCTGCATAATAACTTCATGTATCAAGCATTCCTGCCCGACCTTTTTAAGCCCTGACATTTTTTAACATTAGCTATTCCTGCCAAATTTAAACTTTTTGATCATTAACCTTTTCTTTTTTTTTGTTTCTCTCGAATTCTGGATCTTAATAACCCACAAAAGTTATTAAATTAACATGCTTCGACCAACCTTACCAAAAGCAAAATTTCTTCATAAATGTTGTGTCACATGTTCATACATATTGTGACAAACACACAGCTGGAATGTGAAATGTTCATGCATGAGTTCCAAACAATTTCCTACCTGTCTGCTTAAAAATAAGTAAGCCAATGTGAAGCCACATCTGATAAAGATTACTGGTTCCGCCCAGGTCTTCTACCTCAAGACCAGCTATAAGGTTGCTAAGACATAATAGGGCATGACATCTCAATTCTAACAACCTGAAATTACACAACAACATATTCATTCTGGGCCACAAATAAAACAACTATAGCTAAATACGTAGAACAGATATGGATCTTAAGATTTATTACTTCCAATGACACTACTGTTCAAAGTCAAACTTTCTGTTTTCCTCTTTTCCATACTGGGGTGATGTGATTATTTTCATACACAAGAAGGTTGTGAAAGAATTTCAAAGTTTATTCATTCATGATCGCTTGCGTGTTTTAACAGATGAAATGTGATATTCTGAATTTTGGTCCTTAAAACACATAAGTGACAAGTGGCACCAACAACATACACTCAGACAACACCCATGTCACCATAAGGACAAAAAGTGGAAAACATATTAGCACCACCACCACCGCCCACTATAAAAATCCCCTATAAGTAACTTGGCAATTTTCTTGCAAAACCAAAAATAATAATAATGTTAGACAACTTTTACTAATGTTTGACAAGTAATTTACTAGATTTAAACACCATAATCTTATGTAAACACTCTTTATATGATAAGGTTATAAGCAATGCATCCTTTGTGTCATGCAGGTTAGTAATGAACGTGGATACATTTTGTTCTTTACAAATACCTGATGGTCATAAAGGACCGAAACATGTAGTGTGAAAATATTTTACTAAACTAAACTGATTTATCGACAATATGATGCTATCAATTTGATTACTTTTCTTGATTCTATCAGTTATTCACTGAAGGTATAAAGTTGCTGTGATCAACTAACATATTTACATATTAGTGACATACATAACAAGAGGCCAAACACGTGAATGAAAATGTACAGTATTGGTAATTCTCATTTAACATAATTTCAAAATATCCTTGTGCCTGGCCATGCACTCAACACGTAGTGAATAATATCTCTGGGTCATAATGCAATGTTGTTGCCATGAAAGCATATTCAAGATACTTACTTATTAAATATGTGTTTCCCATCAACATTGTTCTTCAAGATTTCACACACATTTTCGGCAGGTAGCTGAGTTTTTTCCTCTACCTTCTGTACTAGCTGACCACTCACTAATGATTCATGAACCTATTACAAAACCAGACATTACTTTGAATTCTTTTGAACACTGAGAGCAGTATCCTGAAAATATACAAATAGCCATGACTATGTCTAGTCTAGCTCAAATGTCGGGCAATAAAGTTCCTAGGCTGGTGCTGCAGCAATCACACTGGGTGGTGGTGGTGGTGAAATGAACTACTGCCATTTAAGTGTAGTTCTGTGTCTCACCAACACATGGCAGGGGTCAGCAAGTTTGACAGCTCCTGAGTAGGAGCTCGGTGAGCTAGTTGTGTTTTTAACTGTTATAGAGGAATGAGTGAATATCAAATTTTGTGCTAAACTGGATAAAATACCAACAGAAACTTACGAAACGTTGCAAACTGTCAATGGTGACAAAGGCTTAAGTCATAGCAGTGTATCTGAATCATTCTGATTTAAAGATGGGCATGAGGATCTTCAGGATGATCCCATCGCGCATGTCCCTGAAACGTTGATACCTGACTCTCAGAATGATGTCAGATGAATTCAATATCAATAAAGGGATGATCTGTCAAATCCTCCATGAAGATTTATGGAAGAGGGACATCTGCACAAAGTTTGCCCCACACAGCCTGATGCACGAGCAGATGTAACGGAGACTAACATAATGCTAAGACATCATCCAGATTTGTCAAACAATCCCAATTTTGAAGAAAGCAGTCTTCTGGGATTTGGCACTGTGTATATGTGGTGTTAACCGATGTTTCGGAGGAACGTATCGCCTCAATCTTCAGGGTAGAAGAAAAAATATAAGAAATCTGCAAGCGAAGAGACCATGAGAACCGGTAAAAGCAGACACAAACTGTTTATGAATCACAACTTGTTTGTCAAAAAATGGTTTTGATCCTAGACTTTTACAAATGAAACGTTTTGGGCCTTGGTAATGACTTTGAGGTCCATCGCATGCAGGTCTGCTTTTACCGGTTCTCATGGTCTCTTCACTTGCAGATTTCCTATATATTTTCTTCTACCCTGAAGATGGAGGCGATACGTTCCTCCGAAACGTCGGTTAACACCACATATACATGGTGCCAAATCCCAGAAGACTGCTTTCTTCATAGTCACCGCCGTGAAAGGCTCAAATCTTACAATCTCAATTTTCTTGGCTGCACTGTAACTGGGGATGAGTCATGCATATTCAATATGACTCCAAGATAAAACATTAGAGCATGCGATGGACCTCAAAGTCATTACCAAAGCCCAAAACGTTTCATTTGTAAAAGTCTAGGATCAAAACCATTTTTTGACAAACAAGTTGTGATTCATAAACAGTTTGTGTCTGAAGGGCATACAGTCAATAGTACTTTCTACACTATCAGAAGACCTTCCCAGTTGAGGCCATAATTTTGAGTACAGTGCAGTTGGTTCCTGCTGCATGATAATGCTCTTTCCCATTCCGCGCTGGTAGTGACGATATTTCTGGCCAAACACAATGCTGTGGAGATAAGCTACCCACCCTATTTATATGATCCTGCACCAGCAGATTTTTTTCTCTAACCTATGATGTAAACTGCCCCCAAAGGAAAGAAGTTTCGAAATGTTGAGGACATTATGAAAAATGTAATGGCCGAACTGAATGCTACTCCTGACTGTTTTCAAATCTTTTTAAACGTTACAACGAACGTGTTCAAGTAGGCAGAGATTACTTTGAATAGAAATACAACAATTTTGTATTTCCTTTCTTTTATTTCTTTTTTTTCACACCGGTGCAAGAACTTTACTGCCAGAACACATATACAGTAACGAAAGCTACAAATTGAAATTAAAAATACTTACCACCACACCAAAGAATGAAACGTTTTTCATTTTTTTCATAACATTCAGTCATTATATATTAATGATCACTATGTTACCTCAACTGAAATCTGTAGGGCAGGGGAAGTAATTTGCTCATAAAAATAAACAACAGAAGATTAGTAAACAACTGTGTAAGAGGCACTTTATGATAAAACAGTAACAATAATGAGTGAGGTAACACAGTTATAATACATTCATTCACATAACATGACCCACATAACCCTTCGTATTGGAAATAAGTTAAGATGTTATAAAAATATCTTTAATATGGATGATTAACAAAATATTCCACTCTGTGAAACATCTTGCGGTTGTTACTCAGCAGGGGGTCTACATGCTACAATATTAAACAAGAGAAGGGAGCAACAGTTTTGTTTAGTCAATATAGCAGATGTGCATGGACAGACATTGTGAGTCCAAGAGAAAGCAATGTCTGTCATTTTCTATGCAAAATATATGAGAAACAGTGTCAGGTACTGATGTCTCTCTACTTCAGGACTTGGAAAACCAGTCAAATGTTTCAGTTCTTTTCATTGTTTTTCTTCCAAGAGCAAGTTTTCATCCCTCAGGTTTTTTGCAGCAGTTCCGCCTAGTTTGAAGTACCTCATGCATACATGCTGTTCATTGAAAGCTGATATTTTCTGATATAACATTATACTGCAAGGGGCCTCACTTCTCATGGTGTTACTGCTATGTGATGTAAACTGTTAAGTTTGAAACGAATGGCAAATAGCTCAACAAATTCTACTCTACCACCATATAGCACAGATGTTGTCCCAAATGCAGCAATGTCACAGTGCAGTCAGTCCAGAAATTAACTGAAGATACTGCACAAAACTTAATATAGTACAGAGATTTTCATTTCAAAATAAATATTTATGAAACTCTCAGCTTCACATTGTAATCAATAATTCATTACTGACTATGATGATTGAGAAATAATACTTTCATCTCCAACTTAAGAAACAAATTCCTGTAATAGCAAAGTCATCCTGAATGTTCAATATTTCAAAACACTTTCAGGTTGTACACATAACATCTTTCTCTATATTCACCTCTGATGGTACACTGAGAGAGAATTTCTCAGCTACTGAAACAACATCCTCCTCAGCTAAGCCTGAATCACTCAGCAGATCAACACTGCTGCTGTCAGATGAATCCTGATCCATGGCATCCTCATCATCTGTAAAATATGAAAAACCCTCATAAGTAAAATATACAGAGTACAACGTTCTTGCTAAAATTCATGGAAACCAAGCAATTTTCATCCTCTTCTTCAAAGTATTTGAAATAAAACAACTATAATTTCTACAGTTTCTTTTTTTAGATTAAGTAGTCTATTATGGAGGATGATGTACAGACAGAATACCACACAAAAAAACGCATATAACAAAATTTCCATCAGTGTCTAAAAGAAGTTACTTATTATTACGTTTAAAAGACAAAATTCAGACAATTATTTTAAATATTTTTCATTACACAGGAATTACATACCATCACCAGTACATATATTTGCCAATAACTCAACAGCAATCTTCTGAGCTTCCAAGAGATACTGCATCGCAGTGACAGACTCTGACATGTCTTTCTGCTTTGGTGTTTCAGCTGCTTCGTCAAGGGGCAAGTTGCTTGTGAAACTGTTGAGAGCCTTGCGATGATCAACACTCAGAGTGGCTGACAGATTACACACCAGCTGTGTCACGGTGGTAGGTGACAGGCTTAACACCTTGCCATAGTTCAAGTTAAGTGTCAAACCTAGCAAGAAAGGACATACTGACTTTAAAAACATTTTCTTACTCCTTGAAGATCTCAGGCATGAAAGGAAGGAACGTTGTCATTAAAGCTCTATATAAATGAATGTGAAGTCACCACACTGATGGACATCTAAGGAGCAACAGAAAATAAACAGTGACATTTTCTTTAAATTAAATGAAATTGTAGTGTGTGACTGTATTGTTTATGAATATTACTGTCCTAGAGAAAACATTTAATGTTTTATTGCATTTTATTCTACAACTATATACGATATTTTTCTTCAATGGATGCATCCTGTTGTGTTAAATATAATATATTTCTTTAATAAAATCTGTCACAACACAACAACAAAACAGTTGATGTTTAACAGTATTTTGCTATATGTTTCGGCTTTTTAGAAAGTCATCATCAGGCAAATACACGATTAACGTGTTCTTAAGCTATTGAATTGCATACTATATAATTCAATGCAGTGTTGGATTTTCGACAATATATCACAACATAATAATTTAAACCATGAATTAAAAAAAAAGAGAGAGATAAAGATTTTAAATGAGATAAGTTACATATTTAAATTTAATTGAGAACTATACATATAATATGTCCTATTAAGGTAGGTTGTTGCAATTCTAATGTTATGTCATAGGGTTGCTGCAGACATATAGCAACAGTTTTCTTTCTTGTATACACATATGAAGTGGTTAAAATGTTTGGAGGCCCATTGGTACGTGTGCAGTATTATCTAGTTATGATATTATTTGACAGGTACCTCTATTTGCTTTATTATGTCCAGTCTGGTAGGAAGGCAGATTGCAACTGAGTGTGTCTCCACAATCCCCCTTCCTCAATGCCTTCAGACTTCATAGCACACAAGCAAAATGAGAAAGACGGGATATTTGTGGCCAGCCTTAAAGACATGTACACAGTGTCATATTTATGAAGAGTTTATTGTAAAGTTACATGCAAAAATTCAGTTTCCAATCCTAAGGTAAAAAGGCAAGATGTCCCTGTGCTTAACCAATTAAGCCATTGGGGAGTAGACGTATAGATCCATGTCTTCCTGACCCAGGCACTAGCTGTAAGTTCGCGATTTATACAACGATAAATCTGCTCTCTACCTTATTCCCCAACCATCTCTTTTATCACAAAATATCTGATGAACTAACCACAAGACAGAGTTCTGAGAAGCAACACAGCTGGTTCACTGCCCTCAAGGTCAAGAAGTTTCTGAAGTAGAGAACTGGAACCCTGCAGCTTACTAACAGATGTTGGATTATCCTCTGTTACAATGAGAAGACACTGCGCTGAAACACAACAATAGATCAGGCAATGTAAACACAGCATTAACAGGAAAATAACAGAAACTGGGGGGTAAGGGGGGGGGGGCAGAAAGCGAGGTGATCTCACAAGCTGCCTAACAAAAATCAGGGGGGTTACACAGACAGATACACATAGACAACCAGCAACGTGATCACATAAACATCCCTTTATTTTTTAAAATAAGGATAACTGGCTTAAAAAAAAAAGGAATCTCACACACAAAGCAAATTCCTTTTCTTGACCAGTTGAGTGAATATCAGCTTACAGAAAAAGACCACAGTAAGTAGACAGGGCAATAAGTCTCTTAACTGAATAATTAGAATTCTCTCTTATTACTGAATCCAGAGTTTCATCATCAAAGGCACTGCAATTACAGGAGCCACTCATCTACAATTCAAATTTGTGCTCCAACATTCTTGTCTCACTTCAAACCAAGGCAAAATCAATCAGTTCATTCATTAGAGAAAGCTTTGTGGTTGCATCACCTAACACTTAAGATGTGTGCATTTCAATTTCTGCTCACCAACTGCAATTGCTGTGTCCATTCCAAATACACTAACTTCCAGACACTTGGCAAGAACAGGCAGTAAGTTTCCGCTGTTGAAATACTTCACTGCTGTACTGCTACTTTCACTGGAAAGAAAGACCAAAAAGGTTCCACTCACAAATTTCTGTTACAGCCCTCTATATTAGATTAAACTGACAAATTTCTCATATTATTCATCAAAGGCAAGTACTGAAATTACCAAATAAATCATATGGGTAGTCAACATGACAAAAGATTCATTTTAGTACCTGAAATCACATTTTCATGTAAGTTATATAAGGATTCAGAGAATATATCTGGTAGATTAATCACATACTGACTCCTGCTGCCAAGTATCATCTCAGTACCCAAGATTTTCATGCAACATAACATGCCACAAAAGATACAGATAATGTCTCACAGTGCACAAACTACTACTTATACTACTGAAGGATCAAACCGGTATCTGACATCTTCATGCAGCAACATATCCTTACTCACCACAGGTTCCACAGCAAGTGCACCGCTTGATTGAAAGTGTCTGTTACTTCATCTACTTTATCCTCAAAGTTCTTTTTTGAAGGTTGCCAATCTGCAGCATACTGCAATAAAACTGAATCTGACACAAACATCTCTTACTAAGAAAAGGTCTAAACTAACAAATTAATAAATTACTTACACAGTAACTATCATTAAGGAGAGTCAGCTACTGTGTGTCCTTGTCGTCATCAACATGGCCGCCACCACCACCACCAATCGTCTTCTTACTCAAAGGATGAACAAATAATTCAATTCCATTACTTCATTACAGTGCTTACCGGTAACTAAAGCAGGCAAGCATTTGTAATAAAGTCATAATAACAATGCCAATAATGATGACAATGACAAGAGTAGCAGCAGCAACAATAATAATTCAGTTCAATTCAATTTAGTTACTTTAACTACTTACCAACAGCAAGTGTTGAGCATTGACTGTATACATAACTAAAGCTAGACTAAGACTAGAACTGGGGTAAAAATTAAATGTTATAGGCCGCGCCATAGCTCAAGCGGTTGGTCGCTGGCTTCCATTGCGGCGGGCCGGGTCTGGTCAAGTGGGATTTGTGGTTGACAAAGTGGCGCTGGGGCAAGTTTTCTCCGAGTACTTCAGTTTCCCCTGCCAATCTTCATTCCACCAATTGCTCCAAAATCACCCTCATCTATCATCTGGGGCTGGTACAATAGGCCAGAAGTGGCCACAGTACAAGGGACAACATACAGGTAAGACGATGACGTAAATGGAACCATAAACTCAGTAAATAATAATAATTCAATTCTATTGTTTATTATTTATGTGCAGAGTCAATAGCTACAAGGCCAATTACAGACAGAGCACAATGTAAATACAAGTAATTAAATTATGGACAAACACAACATAAAGTCAAAGACAAATTACAGGAAAGCACTGGAGGAAAAACACATTAATGCAGAGAATTAAAAAAATAATAACAATAACAATATAATAATAATAACAACTTACAGTTCAGAGGCCAATTACAAAGTTAGCATGAGTATGTAAAAGGACACAAAAGTAACAAAATACAAAATAGGGCAGTCTGTATAATAGCAATAAATTAACAATCATTCCATGATGATGATGATGATGATGATGATGATGATGATGATGCTAATTAAGTTTTTTATTTATTGACATGCTGAGCTAAACAGCCAACAGCCAATTACAGAGTCAGCACAAATACAAACAGCAGCAGCAATAACACAAGACAAAAAAAAAACAGAGAAGAAAAACAAAGAAAAATGGATCAGCTAAAGCTTTTTACACTTCAACAAGAGTTATTAAAAATATCTGTACATTTACAAACTGTATTTGATGCAGAAACATATCTAGCTAAAGGGCAGTGACCCAAAAATAAAGTGAAAGTGGTACAGTTATGTATATTCCATGTTAGAACATGAATGTTGACTGTTCTGAAGGCAGAGGGCACTATTTAGTGCCATTAAACCATAAGTGGCCGCAGTACAAGGGACTTAGTCCCACCTCACTAGCAATAAAAAAAAATAGTGCCATTAAAGCCATTTTTTAAAAACAAAGCATTGAAATGATGAAATCTAATATGGAGTGCGTGCAAATTTTCTTTGTATGTATTCAAGCTCACTGGAGTCAGTAACTGCAACGGAGTTCCAAGCAACAAAAGCACTCTCCAGTTTAGATCTGACCAAAGCAAAATTCTGCATCAGTAGACTGTCTATGGTAGAAAAGAATAACATAAGTATATGAACTAACCCTAATAATTTAATTGCATGTGAAAAAAAGAGACAAACATAAGAAACAAAAATTTGACCTCAACAAAAGTAACGGTCTCTTTTTTCTTAATCAATAAAGCACCAAGCCATGAAGATTTATGTGGAGTGGAGGTACGGCTCCATGAATCCTTAATGTCAGCACTAGATGGAGGTATAACCATACCAAATTACAGCATCATACATTAAATGCTACAACTGTCATTCTCACCTCTAAGTTCAAATCACTCTGCTGTTCTTACTGATAACAAAATATTAAAATGTATAAAGTTGTGGGGAGGTGGCAAACATTCGAATCATATTTTATAAAAATCTATCAACTGATATAAAACGTACCGGGTGGGGGGGGGACACACACACAGAAAGATGCAGATGCAAGGACGAGTTTAAATGATATCAAACTTTATTACAAACATACGACGTATATCACACCAATGACAAAGAAACGATTAATGATTACATAAGATTTCATAAACTGTGCATGCAGATTATCTGAGACATATTTTACTTCTTCTGGCTTATTTTGGACTTCATCCATCGTCTGGTATGTAAAAGACAAAAGACCACGACGTTTCGGAGACTGGATCTG